GTGGGGTCATCCCGACACTGGGAAACGGTGTGGTTATATAAACCCTAATTGTCTTGTGCTTTGCTATCCACTCGCTCCAGGGTCTCGCCTTCAAATGTTTTGACGGGGGAGGGGGGGTAGAGCCCTCATGCCTGGACTTAAAATAAAATGCACGGCCCAGCCATTGCCACCCTCTCTTTGTTGAACAATGCCTGGATGTGCCGCAGGGGCTGGGCTTTTCCACATGTGGAAATGTACCATGGTCAATTTTAATCCCGTAATTGTTTTTAGTGGTAATTAAAAAAAATACTTAACAAGGGTTGCCAACACCCACAAACAATGGTGACATTTTACAGATTCCCCCCCCCCCTGCTTTGCCGAGTGGCTTTTTGCAAAGGTAAGCAGGAAAGTAGCATTAAACAAACAGCCAAATGAATATTCTCTCGTCGGTACGTGCCTGATTTTCATTTTAAGTGATACCTATTTTTAAGCGGTGTTATTAACCCATCCACAAGCCTGCTAAAGTATTGGCGCTAAAAACAAACCGTTCGGCTTTTACAAATTCTATCCTCCTGAGCCTTTGCCTTGCATGGTTGGGGGAAGGGGTGGGGTGCCGGTGGGCGATTGCCACAATGGGTTCCTCCTCGCATCTGGAAAGGCTGAAAGTTTCCAGAGCAGTGGCCAAAGGTTTGGGCTTGCTTGGGTGCGTGCGTGCAAAGAGCTCTGCCTGGCATGGGTCACGCCTGCGCGTGGCCTGGCCGCCACCTCTGGCACAGAGCGCCATGTGTGTTCGTAATTTGTCGAGGCAGTGGCGGCCGGAGAGGTTGCCCCCATGACGCCCTAACGCGGAGTTTCGCGCAACGCGTCTCGCGGGGAAGAAATGTAATGCGGAACATGAACACAACGTCGCGTATCCAACCCAGTGCTCATCCGCCCTCATGAATGAGACCCCCCCCCCCCCCCCGCACGCAGGGCAGTACTTGTGCACGGTGTGCTTGTCATTTTACTGTAGATTGTTCACGCATCCAACCTTTTCACATGTACGCCAATACCCGTCCACGTTGGGTAAGCAACGTTGCGTATCCAACTTGCATATCCAGTAAGTTGGATATGCAACATTGTCCTGTGGCACCCGCCACGAGAATGTGGAATTTCCACTTTTTAATATGGTGAAGGCAATTGAGCACTGACCCATCTGATTGGGAATGATTAGGATCAGATTCTGTATTTGTGCGGAGAGTAGTGGTGTTACCGATGAATCGCTTTAACAGCAGTGCTGAAGCTCATTACACTGGCAGCTGAATGCATGGGCAATAATTGAGTTTGTATTGATGTGTATGGATGTTTTATGTAATCGATTTGACGTTACAGCTGCGGCCACTAGAGGCTGCTATATTCACTAATATTGAATCGATAATTTCCATCTGATTGGCGCCCTGAGTCGCTGCAATTTAATTTGCAGCGAGGGAGAATCGGTGCACTCCTGGTGTGGACAGTACATGTGCTGTACATGTTGCTGGATTCATATGTATTACCTTGGTCCATCCCTCCCACGAGTGACGGTACCACCTTGTGTAGGATGTCAACGGTGGTCTTTCCAAACAACGACTGGCCCTTGCAATGAGTGTGGCGTTTCCTGGCCAAGCGTTGCCAACAGATGAATGTGACTCAATCACTCTCGATGATACACATTCGGATGTTTAACCCTCGACTTGGGAAAATGTACTATGTGAGTGCATGCAGCAGTAAGTGATTTTTGAACACCATCTTTGGAGGGGGTTGATGTTAAAATACATTGCATATGCAAAATTATAACTGAAGTTAATGACCACTTTTGACACCTTGGGGAGCATTGCACAAATTGCAATCAACCTGTGTGATCGAAATGGAAACTGGTTGGCTCGGGATGAAAAGAGGCTCCTTGTGAACATACGTGTGGATTAAATTAACACTGGCAGGTCTATGCACCACACCGCGTTCCATGTGGCAGCTTTCAGTTCCTAGGCAGACGTGTACTGGCGTTGCACCTGTTAGCTGTTGACTGGAAGAGGAGTGCTGAGCTGGTGAGATTTTAACTCCCTTGCCTGGTATGCAGGAGTCCGTCGGTTCGATCCCGACCCTTGATGCCTAATATATTTGGAGTTTGCATGTTTTTTCTGTGGTTGCATGGATTATTCTCGGCGTTTTAGAGCTTGGCTGGGATTAATTTTTGTGGCCAGATCACTCCTGAAAAATAACTTCATAGCTCGGTGGGCCTGAGCAAGTAAGATAAAAAATAGTTTAGGTTTAGCTGTAATTATGACACGGACCAAAGTAACAATCGGAGCGCAAGCTCAACATACTTGTCTTGGACTTTGTATTCAAATCTATTACTTGTATTGCACCTGTGTGCATATTTCAAAAATTGCTGAAACGCCCTCAATTTAATGAAAATATTCACATGCACAATGCAGATTAACTGCATTTGAAGTGCCTTCCCGGATGGTCTGAATTAACGTATTAAAAATAAAAATGACAGTTATCCATAGTGCCGTCATACTTTGGATGCACCACGGCAAGTCGATTTGGCAAGCCGCGTGTGGGTGGGCGTACAGTCTGTCACCCCCCCCCCCCCGCTACTGGACCATCCTGTGAAAAAAAGCTTCGTAGCTCGTCGGATTTCTCCAGGATGAATGAAACGATTCTGATTTGGAGTGCTGCTCGCCTAGTCCCAGATGCCCGGCCAGCATGGGAGGGTTTGCCGAAGTACCTTGTGAAGATGAGGTTCTTCACAGCTCCCTCGATGGGAGGCCCTTCCACCAGCAGTAGTGTGGACAATAAATTGCAGGGCTGCACTTTTCACCCCACCACCTTTTAAAAAAAACAATCCTTGTCACTTGGGTAATTAACCGGCAGTCACTAGCGGTTTTCATACTGTCTGGTTCTTTCGGTAAGTCACGTAGGTATAAAATAAATTAAATCACGACGTTTCGGGTGCAACACGTGTCTGTCATCAGGTGGGACAACCACAGCAAGAAACAATTGCTGAAGTGACTTTACCGAAAGAACCAAAAGAGTGGATCCCTGCAGTCACGAAACTTAAATCTAGATTAGCGGCTTTCGGTTTTGTTAGAAAGTGAGTGAAGGCTGCTACTGCTACTACTGCTGCTGCTGCCGCCCTGGTTGTGAGTGCAGTTCTTGTTTACGTATAAGAGACCCTCGTGAACACCGTTGGTTAAACGAACTCTGGAGCAGAACCGACTTTCTCGTTTCGTGTATTTTCACGTTTTGACAGATGTTGGCACATCATTAGGAAATTGCTTCCCATGGGATTCAAGGTAAACAAGCAAGTTGCTAAAATGCTTGTTTACATTGGGGGTGGTGGGGACCTGGGAATTAGGTAAATGAAAATAAATAGAATCTGTGAAAAATCCTGTTCTCACTCAAGCCGTGTACGTTTCCGAGTCCCATTAAACAATTGCGTGATTAAATTTGGCAGTGTGGGCCCTGGTTCAAGAAATCCTCCTTGTTGTGGCGTAGCGGGTGGAGTTGGCAGCGTGGTGCACAACAATAATGGAATGCTGGGAAATTGTGGCACACCCATTTCACAGCAATTGACCTTCAATTAGCAGTTCCAGCGTTGGCGTCTGTCATGATTGTGTGGCCGTGTGCATCCCTATGGATTCACACGGCCACAATGTACAAACTGCACATCAGTCTACACACTGCACCTCACCACGAGAGTACACGGAGGCACTGCCGGTCTAGACTTGGCAGTTGCAGCTTGTCTAAAAATGCGTTCTTAATTCTTAATTTTGCTATACTAAAACAAGTTAATTTCATTTTAAATTAAATGTTGGCAGTTAAAACTAATCGCTGATTCGCATGTTTGCCCTGCTGAATGCATGTTTTGCCCGTACCATTGGCCAATCTGAGCCACTCCTATGGAGTGCCATCCGTTGAGAAAAGCGAAACCAATTGTGGTGCATATAGTTCCACCGCTTGCCAAATGACGAGCCGTCGTTTAAAGGTCTTTTGACCCACCACCCACCACCGACACTCGGGTCGTGTCTATTATCATGGCTGCCCCGGATTATTGGTGGGGAGCTTTTTCAAACTTGGTTTGGCTATTGGCTATCCCTCGTCAGATGTTATTTCTGGGTAGGGGTCAATTTGCAGTAGCCAGAGGGGGGGGGGGGGGGGGGGGTTGGACGCACTTCGGCCTGGGTCTCTGAAGGCTGTGGTTCCTGCCATTAGGAATGGTGAATTTCCACACTGGCTTGGGGCCACCAGCAGTCTTGACACTCGGTTGTCTCTTACTGGCTCTGCGCCTCGATGCCGTCTCGAAACCTTCCCGTTGAAGATGTTAAATAGCATTACGAAATTACTCTTAAACGGTCTGCATTTTACATCAATCCATACATCGCTGTACATAGCAAGGTGCATGCGTTTAACATGAAGCATATGAAAGGACGTGTACGTGTATTAGATCATGAAAATATTACATCTATGTATATTGTGTGCGGTGCAAGTGGGTTGATCTACATAATGACTTGCCTGTCATATAAATGTGGAATTTCCACCACTGGCTCGGCTACAAACAAGAGAAGTGCCACCCTTGATTTGTTCGGAGTGGGAAACCATTGTGGCTTGATTGATTAAACAGCGCTAAAAAAGTTATCTGTCCATGGTGGGGATATCCTCCGACAGCCCGTACTAAAATTCTGAATGCGTCCCTGGGGCTCTGTCAAAATGTGCCGTCCTTGGGAAGAGGCGTTTCGGCTTCTGCTGAGTGTCTGATCAGCTGTTAAAGAACTTGAATATGTCCTTGGCAATATGGTCCTAAGCTTTGAATGAATAGTTGTTGTCATTGATTAACAGATGGCTTTAAATTGAGAAATAATTTGTCTGCCTATTACTACGTGACTGTTTAACCAAGAACATGCCACATTTGCTCGAAGTTACGCTCTTAAACTCCGATAAACATGCAGTGTGATTTTGCAGATGATGATATTGTATTTTTTGTGGATGTGATTTTCTAGAATGAGAAATCATCTGGAAAGTTGACTGATCTTAATTTGGATCTCAAAAGTGTCCAGCAACAGCTCGGTAAGTGATCGATAAATGCAACATTCTATCGACCCATTGTGTGAAAATTGTATAACTTATAATTCAGGCACAATTGTCAATGCAGTGTTTGCATTACTAACTTGACGGCTACAGAAAATCCCTTCGCTCGTTCATTCCCCACTAAACTAATTCACTTTGCATCTAGATATAGTCACTGTAGTGGCATGAACTCACAGGTGGTGAAACACATCGAGTGATTGGGCTGCACTGTAGGCATGGGGAATTTTTACACCACTGTCAGAGCCCCAGGGTTATTCGAGCCAAGGGGAGGTTTAAATTTTTGAGCGACTCATTTGTAACTTGGGTTTTACACCGAAGGCCTTGACCATAAATATTATCAAAACAAGCGTGGGACTGCCACCCCCTCATGGCAGTTACCAAGCCAGTGGTGGAGATTCCTCATTCTTATGGTTGGGGCTTTCTCCATAAGACAACCACATTTTTGACAATCTTTTATTGACCTCCGAGTGAATGCTAGGCTTGAGTCACCCCTCTGTCCACCATTTCTCTCCTCTTGAATGTGAAAGAACGATCTTCTCTATCTCGAGGCGAGCGGGCATCACAGCTCATTTCGGGCTTGGCATGACCTGTCGCCAGTTGTAAAAACAACCATATCGTGAGGGCCCTACTCACGAGCTCGGCTCTGAGCTCGTGGAAGAGAGGTCGAGCTAGACGGCACTTCCCGTGATGATGTTTTGCCCTTAACATACTATCTATACTCCATTGTGTGCTGTAGTGTCGTGGTTAGCGCACTGCCACGAACCTGCCGACCCGAATTCGATTCCCGTTCGCGATCGACACTAATGGCGGTTATCTGAACTGTCCCTGGGCCTCCCCTAGGTCAACTCGGCCTCAATTGAGTATCTAGTGCGATGTGTAAAAACATTGACGAAGGTGGCCTGGCGTGGGTGCTGTTCCACTCCACCCAATCATGGCCGTTCCGGGCTTCATAGGTGCTCGCTTAACTGCACTTGCCACAGCAGCTTGTTAAGGCTTTATGGGGGGGGATCTTTGTCTTGTTTGCGGCAGCGATCTACGTGGAGCGCTGCACGCGGCTGGAGCAGGAGAAGGAGGCGGCGGAGCGAGACGCCGTCGCGGCTCTCGCCGTGGCCGAGAGGAGGCACGCCGAGGCCCTGTCGAACCTCGAGGCCACGCTCAGGCAGCAGTTCGACGGGGAATTGGAGCAGCTGCAGCAGACCCACGAGCAAGAGCTGGATGCGAGGGTGGCGCAGGTACGTGGCCACGCACCCCCCATGAGCACGGTTGGCTACGTACGTGCGAAAGAAGATCGACATGCATACCTATGTCGGGGCTTTTTTGCAGTTTTTTTATATTTGTCTTTTAAAACTCGCATCTTTAAACTGGCCTTCATCCCTTAGGTTGTGGTCGTTTACCCTGGTTCTCTTTATTTTATTGCTTTCCGTACATCGTGCATTGGGATCTATGGATGAAATGTGCTTTGCAAATGTAAATTATTATTCTTATTTTTCAATCTGTTCTGCATTGTTGCCAGAGTGGTAGCATAACAGAAGCTTTTTTTTACACTTAAGAAATCTCGTGACCTTGCATTTTTTAGTTTGTCTCTTCTGGCTTGGGTGGTGCTCCGGCAAAGTTTTAAAATTCTCTTGGTTCGTGGTTTGCTCGGTCAATAATATCTCTGTGGGAAGGAACACCGCTGGTTCTGGATGATCAACTCAGATTTGCACCTTCCCCACAGACAGATGGCTTGATTTTTATACTGCATGCCCTTGAGCCAAATACCTAGTGTTGTGGTCCTGGTAACGCGTTTACGTTTTTGTCAACTCAGATTGGCCACCAATTTTTGGCTGCGGCCTAAATTCTCCAGTCTCATTACACTTCAAGGCTGTAGATAGCTTAAATAAAAGCGACTTTAAAAAATTAATCACAATTCCACTCTGTTAGAAATGTCCAACACATTTCCGAACACGATCAAAAATGCTATGAGGAGTTGCTCAGGAGACTGGGAGATCGTTGATTGATGTTCGGTCACCGGTTTGATGGCATTAGCCCACGATTTCTCACTGGACAGTGGGCCATGTGGAGGCTGCCATCTTCTTCAAACATGCTGCAGGTAGTGGGACGAACTTAAACTTTTACTTTCAATCAAAAGTTCAACAATAAATATTTAATATTGTAGCTACAAGTCTTGCCCCTTTTGTGTTTATATACAAGGTATTAATTTTGTTGGAATTTAGTTTCTTCTGCATCAAACATTTTCCTTGTCAGCCAAATCCTGAGCTGGTTGGAGAATCGGATCCCAGTTGAGAACATGTGGTGTCACATGACGCTAAACAAATGCGGTCAACATCTGAAACCAATTCCGCTCCGAGCTAGGGCCCTGTGTTCTAATTTCACTTTGTGATGTTTTCTTTTTCTATAATTTTTTGGATGAATCCAGTGGCTTCGTTATTTCTCCAGGAATGCCATTTCATTTCGGTTAACAATGAGAGGCTACTTAACTAAACATGAACATTTTCCTTCTCCGCTAATGGCTTTATTGGTCATTTATTGCCTCTCCTTATCCCGAGAGCGCACGCGTGGTCTGGGAGGGGGGTTAATTTTAGAGTGGAGCTCCCTCCTGCTCAAGAATGTTGACACTTTATATACACAAGGCGCCGAGAGTCAGAGAAGAATGCACGATGGATAAAAGCAGATCCCGACGTTACTCATTCTATCGTTTAACATTTGTTTAAAGTTTGTTTTGACGTTGACCATGTCATCGCCCCCTTTACATGAGAGCACGCTGGAGGGCCGCGCCATGCCATCATCACGGCCCTTTTTCTGCCTCTTATTTCCGTGGTCATGAGCTAGCAAATCTCGGTTGCCCCGAACCATTGCATGCTCATTCAACTCGCCGAGATGCAGCATCTCTCCTCTGTGTATGTTAAACTTCTTTTGCCCCATACGTAGCCAACCGTGCTTAATCGGAGGTCCTCGAGCATTGTGTGGCTCTTGTGTGTGCATGCAGAATTACTTGTCATGGAACTTCTCCCTGCTGTCAATTGTAATATGGGATTTTTTTCTTGTACGTGGTCTTCTGGAAACATCGTTTGTGCAGTTATGCTATAAAAGTTATTTAACCAGTTGCTTTTCAAATTAGTATTTTGTGCATACAGTGGACTTTTTTTTACGCAGAAAACTATTTTACTACCACCTCCACTTACAAATTCTGGCACATTTTATGAGTGACGGTAATGTTAGCTTTGTAAAAATAACATATGAAAAAAAAAGTTTTAAGTGTCTCGATTGGAAGCCTGTCGGCTGGTGGCGGAAATTCCAAATGTTTATGGTGGGGCCCCATCTTTCCATAGGACGGATCACGTTTGACTTTTCTCAAGTAGTAATCATTTTATCCACTCTGTAGGGGATGATGTGCATAAAAATATAGTTTCATAAGAAAACGTTCTGTGCAGTTAGCCTTCAAGTCAGGAAATGGTTTAGAAAAAACGTCCTTATCCGAAATGAAAGCTTCTACTTTTTGGCCACGAGGCAATTTGTAATAATAGTGATGATGGCAAAGTGCACTTTGGGGTTTCATGATTTTATCCCTGTTTGCCAATATGCGTCGGAGCATAAGCCATCACGCAAACGCCGGTCATCCTCACAGCGGCTTTTTTTGCTAACCATCGAACAAAGACGCTCGCCGCATCGCGTGCTTTCAGATGCGCTTCTGCGGCCGTCTGGAACGCTCTTTCTTCCGATATTAAGAAGCCGCTCGAGCTATGCACTTTAAAATCTAAATTGAAAACCCATTTCTTAAAACTGCTTTTTGTTAAGTATGTTGTCCTTCACCGGCACCTCCGATTTAGCACGGTTTGCTACGTACAGTGCAAAATATGTTTTACATGCCCATAGATGTGTCTGTGCATGACTACAGGGGAATGGGATCGTTGTCTTTAACCATCTTGAAGTGTCAGCTTGGTCATTGGCATGCTGCATTCCTGGCAACCTGAGTTTCAAATCCCAGCCCATGCGTAGACATTTTTGGCAGGCTACCCAAATCTGTCTTTGTCTTCCTCCCTTAGGTGTGTTCAGCCTTAAATTAGTACCTGCTGTTGTGCAATCATCACTGCAGGAGAGGACCATAATGACTGGGCCACACCAGGGTCTAATGTGCAATGTCCACAGTGGGTGCTCACTATTGATTCTTGCATGTTAATGTGTTTATATTAAGAGTAAATGGGGAATCCTTGTTATTTCTGTGAATTTCTAAGACAAATTGCCTCTTCCAGACCCTGCCATGAAACATTGCCATTTAATTGAGACCATCTGATGTTGCATGGGGGTGGGAGTTTTCTTGTCTCTCCATTCAGGTAACCCCCATATCTGCTCGCCCGTCCCTCCTACTTTCCCGATTTATACTCTGGGTGTAACATTCTCTGGGTTTTCTGTCTCTCGGGAATTTACTCCCACCGTCTCATTAATCATGCCCTCTGCCGCTGTATTAAATCCATTCCGAAAGTCTACATTTTCCACTGCGCCTTTGCCACTATATATCATTCTTGGAAAACCCGTTTGTGTTGCGTCCTGTGTGCGTACACGCCTGCCTCAAGTACTGCATACATGCTTTTTGGTTTTCTATTGGTGTGCATGTATATTTGTTAAACTTCTTTTGAACCGTACGTAGCCAACCGCGCGAACCAGAGGTGCAAGGGAAGGGCAATAATCTAAACAAAGCAGTTCTCAAGAAATGAGTTTTCAATCTCGATTTAAAAGTACATAGCTCCAGTGGCTTCCTAATGTCGAAAGGAAGAGCGTTTCAGATGGCTGCAGAAGCGCATCTGAAAGCGTGCAATGCAGTGACCCATATTTGTCCGATGGCCAGTCAAAAGCTGCCGCTGCAATGTTTACCGGAGTTTGCGTGATGGTTTACGCTCCTTGACGAGACAATTCAGTGGCTTTCTGCTCAAACAACCACCTTTACCTGTCTCAAAGCCCTGAGCCCATTGATGGACATTTAACTTGCTTGTGGAATAGGCAAGTTGTTTTACTTTCTCATGATCTGCGAGAGTTATGGACTGCTGCTGCATTGACCCCAACCTAGGTTTTGACCACTCAAAATTCCACTTTGCAATTTTCACGTGCCTCAAACCCCAATGTCTATCTGCCCCATGAGAGCGTGGCGTGACAGGGCCCAGCGGTAGGGTGTTTGCTGCTTGTTGCAGAGCTTCACAGTTTAAATCCAGTGTCCTCCCTGATATAGGGGGGTGCCACGGTGGCTAGAAGATGTTAACTACCTCGCCTGGTACACAGGAGGTCGTGGGTTCGATCCCGACCCTGACGCCTGTATATTTGGAGTTTGCATGTTCTCGCCGTGGTCATGTGGATATTTTTCCGGGTCCTCCGGTTTTTCCCTCCACGTTTAGAAACATGCGTTTATGGAATTGGCTGCTATAATTTTTCACATGATTTCGCCACTTTGTTGAGCTGTCATTTCTGGCCAATTCGCTTCTGAAGAGCTATATAGGTCAGTGGACCTTACTTGATAAAATAAAAATAAAATACAGATTTCTGCGAGCGTAATAACTAAAATAATACGACAGTGGCCAATAAAAATCTTCTGACATAGTTTGCTAGAGTAGGCCCATTGTGTGCTGACGTCGGGGTCCAAATAATACAATTACTGTAACCTGAAAATTGCTATATACATAAACAATATGGAGCAATCATCACCCCCTACTGGGACTAATGCCCCAGGCCACATTTAGAAATAAGAGGATACTGGTCTCTTGTTCTCGCCACTTGGTTAAACTAATCTTAAAGCCATTGAATTTGGCGATGCTCTTTTCCACACTGAAATTCTATGTTCCTGCGGCAGTGCTCGGCTTTGTGCAAACATGTAGGTGTTGCTTCCCCTTTGTAACCACCAGGAAGAGTGGATCCCCTTTTAAGAATACTTCAAAAAGCATTGGCCAAATATCTCTCGTTATTGACCCCATGGGAAGTTTTCATGGCGACACAATATCAATTTACTGACACACGAGGGACAAGTATGATGAACGCTGTGAACTTGTGATCGTGAACCCAGTGCATTCTGGGCTAATTGCACGTCATGGTATGGAGCTGGCACCAGTGAGTTTGGGTTTAAATCTGGTGAAGAGGACTGTGGTTAAACCGCACTCTGAAATGTGGTGGTGACTTTATGGTTTTGGTTTACTTCACCAATGACTTAGACAACCACATGGAACGATGTGTTTTTTTTATTCCACTTCACCTCTTGAGGATTAAACATGTTTGGTTGGCCACGTGACAATATTTTCAAAACCGTGTGAGTTCAGAGGCCAGCCGTCATTTAAATATTCAGGGCTGTTCTATGCCACCACGTGATGCAATGCTCACTGCAGAAACTCCGGAAGGACATGTCTTGCTCTCATGATGGTGATGCTGAGATCAGGATGGGAATAATACTGCAATTGTGGGGAGTTGGGGGGGGGGGGGGCACAAGGGGAAGTGACACACCCTGATTGATCAGTTGTTTACACTGCCCACACTCCACTCTGGTCCTCATGTCCAGGAGTTGCCGTGGTCCAGTGTGTTTGCTCAATACTAAAGTGAAATCTCCAAATTGTCACACATGTCTCCTGTCGCCCATGGAGTGAAGGGAAGGCTGCTTTTGCTTCAATGCATCTGCAATAACATAAGGTGGCCAAAGGGGACCGACTTGGAAAAACAAATGACCCAAACAAAGTTTGGGTGTTGAATTACAAATCAAAACACACACACACACTCTAGCGCTAGTAGCAACAGAACAACACATGGCCCTGGTTAAGAGTGGTTTTTTGGACCGTGATGACTTTTTACGTAAATATCATTAATCATCTTGTGCCCATTTTAGATAGCAAAATGAGCGGTTATAATAAATGTACAACACAAAGCATAGCATTCTGTTCTTAATCTAGCCAAATAAAAACCTTGCGTCTTCCCATTTATCATTGTTTAGTGACCCTGAGCAAGTGGTGGTCAAAATTACACATTTCTATGCCAGTGAACAGTCTATCCATCGGACAACTGCTTTTGATTTTTCACATGGAATAACACATGTTCTTGACCCAGAATAAGCAATGGGCTCCGCTGATGCTTAACTGGGATTTTAAATTCCAATCTTATGATTCTTGTTCATTATTCTTGCCAGAATACCATCCTTGGGATTTAATATAATGGATACAAATGAAAAGCATAGTGTAACAAAAATATGCCAAAACAAATTATTGCACGAGGCAATGCAATACATCTCACTTTAAAAACTCTGTACCGTGCACGGGGGGGGGGGGGGGGGGGTCACCTTCGCTTGACGTCGCTCTGCTCTGTAATGAGCACCTTGTTGAAATGCCAGCCGCGTCTTTGCCCGAGCGCGCGGCTTTGGGTAGGTTTTAGACGCGGACGCCGTTATCGTCACTTGCAAGCCCAAGACGCCATCCTCCTGAGGACGTTAGTGGCTCGTTGACTCGGCAGCGCTCGGACGAGCAACGCAAAAGTTTTTCCTCGGTGCTTCTGTTTTGTGTGTGAACTTTCACACCGTTGTACGTAGCCAACCATGCTCATCGGAGGTGAGGGGAGAGGGCAACAAACTAAACACAAAGCGGTTCTCAAGAAATGAGCTTTCAATTTATATTTGAAAGTGCACAGTTCCAGTGGCTTCCTAATATCGGAAAGAGCATTCCAGATGGCCGCAGAAGCGCATCCGACAGCGTACGATGATGCGGCGGGGTGACCGTCTTTGTCCGATGGTTCGCCAAAAGCTGCCGCTGCGCCGGGGGTGGCAGCTTTGCTGTCGGTGTTTCACTTGGTGGCTGGGTTTCAACGAAGGAGAGGTGCTGCTCTTGGCCTATGGCTTGTTCGCACCGCTTCCATCTGAATGTGCGGCCTTACCCGATGGCCGAGACGCACTGATTTCCTACAATAATTTCGAATTGGTCAAGGTGGAACGCGGCAACTTCCTGCTTATGCCGCTGCTGCTGGTAGGGCCTCCACCGTAGGCATTTCCTGGGAGCCTCTCCAGAAGGTATTTGTCCGTGCTGGCCAGACAACTTTAAAGACCTGGGAGTGCCCACGCTTTACCCCACCACACGACCTGCTGATCGACAAACTGTGGTGGGCCAATTTGTGCTGGTGGGGGAGGGAACGATCCCATGATTTCAACTGCTGTGCCGGTCTCGGCGAGTTCTCACGGTTATAAATAAACTTGACTCTCATGTAAGTATTGGCTTTCCATAAGGAGAGGCACATACATCCCAAAAGTCAGGGTTGGCCTTCTGACTTTGATTTGAACACGTGTCCTTTTATTTGGAAGCTACTAACAGTGGCATCTGCCGTGGTCCATGCATGAACTTGAAATGTGGCTGGACATAGCGTAATTTTCTATGTTTCTGGTTTTTCCCATTTAGCAAAAGAAAGAGGTCATGTCTGAGATTGAGATGGAGACGGTGACTGCCATGAAAGAAGACCTGGAGAGGAGCATCAATGGTGGGCTTGCACGTTCGATGATTTAATTCAATAGATGCTTCAACAGCAACGTGTGAGCCCTATGAGCATAACAAATATGGGCATTTAACTTAACACAACTGTGGCCCTGTTGAAATATTTTGCTGTCGGCGTTCACTTAATGGATGTATATTGAACTTCTTTCGCACCGTACGTAGTCAACCGTGCTAATTGGAGGTGGGGGGAAGGAATGACAAACTAAACATGAAAAGCAGTTCTAAAGAAATGATTTAATTTTTTCGAAAAAAACGCCACTTTTTCAAAAAATGTCATGCTGTGGTTTTCACACCTGATGATTGCTTGTGTTGAAATCAAAACGTCATGAGAATTTTATTGTTTTATTTTTATTATTTTATTATTTCCCTTGTACGTGACTTTACCGAAATGATTTTCTATTCATATTGAAAAGTGCATAGCTCCAGTGGCTTTCTAATAACAGAAGGCAGAGTGTACCGCAGAAGTGTATCCGAAAGTGCGCGATGCAGTAACCGTTTGTTCTATGGCGAGCAAAAATATGCACCTGAAAAGTCACTTTTGTTATAAATTGTGGTATTGATTGTTTTAATTGAAAACCCTTACATTCAATCGAGGCTTTCCTGGGTAACTAAAAGAACATCTTCATATTATCTTCTTGGTTCTTTCGGTAAAGTCACTGTAGACTTTACCGAAAGAACCAAGAAGATGAAAGAACCAAGAAGATGAATCCCTGCAGAAGCTTTAAATCGAAATCTTCATATTAATTAATGTAGGCAATGAGCAGCACTGTAACAGGACATTTGAAGGCATGGACATCTAACACTGCTTCTGAAGTCTGCTACATGCCCGGATCTCACCCAGCACAAACGGTCATGAACCGTAGACTTGTACAGCATATTCCTGAACTTATTCATTACTCTTTAAATAACGTTCATGAAGCTTGCCCAAGCCAAAGCATGCTTGCGGTTTTGTGGGTCTCGTTACTCTGAGAGGTCTTTCCGATCAGTGGCATACCAGCTTCAACAGAACCAAATCGACTACGATCCGCCGCTAATGGCGACCTGCCGCTGTGCCCACCGCGTGTAAACCTCGCGCACAATGCGGCCACCACAGTTTCGGGGTCTCCGGCCCAATGACCTGGAACACGCTACCAGATCATGTTTGGGATCCATCCCCGAGTCGGAGCCCAGATCCTGCAGCAGACTCGAAACAGTGTTATTGTTTCGGAGAGCCTACTTACACGTGTGCTCAATGCTTATTCGTGATGGACTGGACTCGTAAGAGTGCGCAATAACAAGAGTTCTATATTCCTAGGTTTTTTTCGGTAAAGTCACGTAGTTAAAATTTTTAAATGAATAAAAGTAGAATAAAAATAAAATAATAATCTCGACGTTTCGGAGGCAACACAAGCTTCCGTCTTCAGGTGGAACAGTCACAGCACGATAGCTGTATCAAGTGAGAGAAATTCCAAGAAACCCGTATTTGTATATATACTGGTTGAGGGTGGGAGGAGCCAAGGTAGGCCCTGAATATTATTTTTGTGAGGTTCGGTGCGGCTGAAGCACCACGCTGTTAGGAATGAGCCTTTGTTGTGTAAACTAGGTGCGGATGATGTGTAGGTGCATGTAAAAGGGACTGAGCCTTTTTGTTATGTAGAGGTGATGCGGCTGAAATCGTACATTGAACTTTTCAACAAAAGTTCTGACTCGCTCGCACCTTTTGCCATTTATTTCCAGAGCTGAACCAGTCTTTTGAAAGTGAACGGACGTCGATGCAGAACAAGTTTGAACGTGAGAAATCCTGCTTGGAGGTATGCGAGCTCCCATTAAATTAGCTCCTTGCTTATTGTAATCGACATCTGCTTTGCTTCCAACCGCTGCGTTTTAAGGCGGTAGAATTTGTATTTAACGTCGGACCGAGACTGTTTGTCAAACGTCGAAGTGTTTTCCTTCCTGTTCAAGGGAGCGTTGGAAAACGTTCCCCTCCATTGATGGCGCTGAACCATTGGTGGGAAGTTCTACCTTCCTGAACCCAGTCTATCCATAAAACATCCACGTTAATTTGTATGTACGTTGAACTTCTTTTGCCCCATACGTAGCCAACCATGCTAATCGGAGTTGTGGGGGAAGACAACGATACGCCTATAAACTATGCGCCTTGCGCATCTTCATCCGAACACAAAAAACATGTACCTGTGTGAAAATCGCAGGAGACGGTGAAGACGCTGACTGTGCAGATCAAGACTCAGAAAGAAGAAATCTCCAGCATAGGGAAGCTCTTGAAAAATACTTCTGCCAGCAAGGAGGTGGGTGCTGATAAAGTTGGGGGGTGGGTAGGGTGGGGATGCTGGTGGGGTGGGGGGGGAGTCTTCACTACGTTCACCCGAATTGTCCCTGCTGACAAACACCACTAAAGCGGTTGCGTGCCTCGAAGCGCTTCAAGCGGTGGTGCCGCGCTGGCAGCGATTGCGCAAGCACCTGCTGCAAACAGAAACGCCGCGCTTTCGTGAATAACCCTGCCCTCAAAGGGGGGACGTGCCTGAATAATAAGTGACGTTTCCGGCAATGGTCCTTCATCGTTGCAGAGATCAATTTTTACCGTTTCAGTAGAGAACCTCTTATCCTGCGAGATGTTAACTACATCGCCTGGTATACAGGAGGGTCATGGGTTCGATCCTTACTCTGGCGGCTGTATATTTGGAGATGGCACGTTCTCCCCCTGGTCTTTTTTTTTTCTCTGGGTGCTCCGGTTTTTCCCTCCACATTTTAGATTCCACATCGTACGTCTTGAGTTTGCCTTATTGTAAATTCCACGTGATAAGCCACTTCATTGAGCTATCATTTTGTGACCCGGTCACTTCTGAAAAAGCTATATACCTTAGTTGGGCCTTACCTGGTGACATTTGTAAAAAAAATCGTTAAAAACTCGAGGCATTGATTATTTTTAAGTGGTGTAGTAATGGAGATGTCGTTTATTTTGTTAGCTCTGATAACAAGCGATGTTCTTCCGGCTCTCCCGGTCACTTGTTTCCACTCCTCCGTGCGATGCTGACACACCGAATTCGTGCCGACCGCGCAGGGCTCGCCGCAGTCTCCCGCGTCGTCTCCGCACATGGAGGACGAGCTGAACAGCCTGAAGGCCGTGGTGGACATCCGCACCCAGCAGATCCACACGCTGGAGCGCCGCATACTCACGCTGCAGCAGGAGGTTGGCTCCCACCCGCACATGTCACAGTAGAGAGGTGATGATGATGAAATCGCCTTTATTTAAGACCGAAACTGGAGGTTGGTTGTGATCGCCAGCGAAACGTCGTAGTCATTGTAAATGTCGTGGGTTTACTCTCCACCACACACCGGTGAGCTGAAGTAGTAGTAATTGGCACGTTTTGTTTGTGACAATTTAATTGGCTGTGGTGGTGGGTTTAACCCAATCTAACCCAAAAAACATTTATGGATAATATTAGTCGCTAAAGCCTACTCCGTGTTAAACTTGGAGACCTTCTGCCTAAAGGGCACAGCATCTCCCTGCTCAAGTGAGCCTGGGCTGAATGGAAGAGTATTTGCGGTGTTTGCACACTTGTAATCCAGTCCATTTTTGATCGGTGTGCTCTATTAAACCTGCCCGCTATCACTCACAACTCAACAAAGCGTAAAAAATATGCGTTTATCTGACCATTAATGCCCCCTTTTAATCAAAACCACATTTTACTTTTAATGCTCCACTCAAATCGCAGCACTTGCTCGAAGCTGTGACCTGTTTGTCGCAGTTGCCAAGTGGACAAAGTGGCTTAATGCAATTTGTGTAACGACGTTTCTCGTTCAGGCCGATGCCAAACGGATTGTGGAGGAGAAGCTGCAGGTGCTGCAGCAGCAAAACGAGGACATGAAGGCTCGCATGGACAAGAGCATGGAAGTCACGAGGTGCGCGCAGTGCACGATGTCACTCCTCAGGCTTAAAGTGAAGGTCGTTCACCGGCCAGCTCGCTTGAAGCAGTGGCCGATTTATCCCCCTGTGATCAAAGCATTTTGGTTCGCAGACGAATCAAATGAGATGAAGAATTCGAATTTATCATTTCTTTACATATCACCCATAGCTTGCCGGGGGGGGGGGGGGTGAGGAGGGGCTGTACATGGAGGCACATGTGTTTTGTGACCCCCCAAATGAATTCTGTAAAGCTTCAAATATATATTTTTAGTAAGATTTATTTAAAGCTGAAATTAATATGCAAAGTAAAAAATAAATAGTAACTTCAAGGACAGTGCTTATCATTATCAGAGTTGTTTCTTTTTGTTTGCATTTTGACTGCTTGTGTTGTGGTTATTGCAAACATGATGCCTTGTATAAAGGTGTCAGTTTTTGTACCAGTTGAAAGGGTGAAAACCTATTACTATATTTGCCACTGGTAAAGGAGGTCTCATAGAGTAAAAAAAAAAGTTCAGTCAATTGAGGGTCGGAAGACATCTGTGGAATAAAATTGGCGGCGGCTTGAATCGATTGTCTCCGTTGGCGCAGGCAACTGTCGTCAGAGCAGACGGCTCTGCAGGCGTCCCTCCAGCGCGAGGCTAAAGCCAAGCAGCGTCTCTCCATGGAGAAGGAACAGCTCATGTGGAAGCTGCAGAACGGCAGCTCCCCGGGCGTGTCTCCCTCCTCGCCACCGTCCACCTCCCCCACGTTCTTCTCCTTCCAGTCCAACAACACCGCTCAATTCTTCTCCACGCCGCGGTAGCGCGCGGCGGGGGGGGGGGGGGGCTCTTGCCCAATCCGACCCCTGGGGTGCCAAGACCAGAGCCCAGCCGCTTGCCGTTGGGTAAACAACAATAAATGCATCTCCTGCCTTCTGCCCACGTGTTCCCCAGCCGGCGTCGGACTCGAATCAGTCCGTGGATGTTCATTCCGTCACGACGGTGTTAGGCGTTGTCCTTGCAGAAGCTGTCGGATTCTAACCTGAGCTTGAGAAACTATTTTTTTACTTGGACAAATCTACATATTCGATGGCTCCGATCTACTGATGCTCATTTGCTTTGCTGGGAAGCATGCTCTGTCTTCCGTTAGGCCGTTGATGATCAACCCATATGCCCGATTAGATTGTCTCTCCATGGAAAGCTAATGGGCCGACACTGCCTCCTCTTCTTGATGATTACCGAGACCTACAGAAGAATGCACACGTGCTTGTGACCATAAGTAAACTCAGCATCGTTTATTTCGTGAGACTTTTTTCACTTGGCAAACTTTATGCGCATCCTGTGATTTTGCGTGCGGTGTTATGTAGGCTTGCGTACTGGGAAAACGTTTCTCGCCGCTAGCTTGAAGGGCCGCGTTGCTTTCGCGTGTCGTTATCCCGTGAAAAGCCCACTTGGCAAAAACAATTCACGTTCTTCGACACCCCAGGTGCCTTCAAACGTGTGGGTCTGTAATGTAAACCTCAAGCCAATTAATATGGACTTCCTACGGCTTTAGCCAGCAGGGAGAATAGACGAGAAGGTTTTTTTTAAAGTCTTGTCCAGAGCATCCCCAGTCCCTGCTAATCCAGTGCAAGCACTGTATATTCAATTACACTGAATAAGCGTTGGAACGGTATTCCAGCAGCCAAGTGGCGTCATGCCTTAAACACGTGGCCCGTATCGATTTCCACGTGCCCAGGCCTCGTGGCGAAGGAGCTAACGGGGTGGCACACATCGGCTGAACGCGGTGCCCCAATGCAAAAAAAACCCGCCTGGTGTACGGTGAAATACCTTCCGCTCCTCGCCTTGCCGCTCCCCAACCCTTGACGTAATGCAAATTGACACCAAATGAAAGTCGGCAATGCCCCCCCCCCTCTCTGGCATGGACCTACGTCGGGTGATGGACATCAGAAATATTGCTGTGGTCCGTTCCACGGTGGAACATTGTTGATGCATTCACCACATGTAATGGGCATTTACTAAGTAAGGCATTTGTTTTTAAAGTTTTCAATGTCCGTGCACGCGCGCACACAAAGCGTATCCAAATTACAATTAGCGTTCTTACAGTGAGCACACGAAGGTGGCTGAGAACATGATATCGTGAAATTGGAAGTTACCGTTCCGTGTTAATAGAGCTTGCAGTCAGGTTTCTTCCGAATGGCACACTCAGCCACTTAAGAAACTGGTCCTTAAGTGATAACTACGGGCTTCCTAGCCATTACATAATTTGCCCACAAGATACGTCGAATAATAAACCATCTTATCATTATATAACGCAATAGATTTACACCCGCATAGAGCAAGTGGGACGGCGGGGGGGGGGGGGTAAACACCCATTGCCTCCTTAAGACCACCAACACATTGTGCAGCTGTTGTTCCATGTGGCCGGCAACACACACAAAACGGAAGCTTGACACCGACACATTTAATTGCAAAAAAACGTCATTGCTGTTTCTTGCTCGGTAAACTGAGAAATGGTGCAGGTGGTTGGTGAGCTCCTGTAGCGATTGTTGCCGCTAGCCTCGTTCGCTGTCTGTCTTCCGACCCGCTTGACAAATGCCTTGCAAACGTTCCGTCTTTGCTGGGTTTGCAAAATTGTTTCAACGTTGTGGCTTTTTTTTACTTGTGTGATTTTTGTAAATATATAAAGTAATAAAATAAATATAAGTCTTACGACAAATGCATGACATTGCCTTAATGTAAATGACTCGCTTTGCGAGACTCTGCAAAAGGGAGTAGAAACATGTCCGTCAATTGTTGTGGAGTCCGATACGACGACCTGTGTATGAAACCCCAAGTGTCTACATGGGTTTTGCACGTAGGCTTTTGCGGCCAATATTATCCAGTAAAGAGGTTTCTTTGGGTTGGATCGTGTCAATATAAATGTCGTTAAACCCACCATCACCCAAACAGCCAATTGGTAAGGTTTATTACGTAAACAAAACGTGCCAATTCGTTACTAGTCGAGCACGATCGAACCAAAAAAACCTCACGTCTCCATAGGTCCTCGTGCACACTTGTGTGCGATGTTGCATCTACAGTGGTCCAGATGTCATGACCCCCACCCCCCCTTTAATTCTCCAACTTATGTTTCTAAATGGGGGGCGGGGGGTTCACAAGACATCTGGACCACCCTGTACAATTTCATTCGTGTTACCTGCTAAGCTGCTATACCGCTACTCGTGGTGTGTCAAAGTGACGAGAAATTATAAATTCATTGGCGTCCAGGATCCCTGTGACCGAATTGGGGTGAAGGGGGGAGCCATGTGATTTGGCAACATCAGAGCGTGTTCTGTGTGGTTTCTTGGAATGCTTTGCGAGTGAATGTTTGGAAAATATTTTCGTAATTGATGCTTTAAGCAGTGAAGAAATGGGCCCTCTACGTCAATCGCAAGCCAGTGTGGACCACTGATGCTTCATTGTCGGTTAGATTTGGCAGTGTTGTGTGTCTGCAAACAGGTTTTTTTTTGCACAGTTTAATTTCCCAAAATAATAAATCGATCAGTTCCTCGCTATTTCATGATCATTTTGGAGCATCTGCCTGCGTGTGGTTCTGGGAACAAGGTGTCATCCCAATGTTCCACAGCCCATGAGTAGTGCTCTTGGGTTTTTGCGTTCGTGAGACGCTAACAATGACGGAAAACCCGAGATTTTAAGCTACAAGGAAACACTTGCTGTCAAAGTGCAAATGAATAACACACCTTAATCGAATGTTTCCATTAATTTACAAATCACAATTAAGTCAGCGGTTGGGTTAGTAACGTGTGCTTTTCTCGTCACAGGTTTTTACGGTGTTTGCTGTTTGTAAGCAAAAATGTGTTTTTCCGCATCTGTGGACTGCTGTCTGAATACTCACAAAGAAATCGTCGGCACGTTTTGCCATTTATCGCCGCACCGGTGCGCACTAATCACGGCGTGTTCACGTCTCTGCGCGGATGTCCGAGCGTTTCCGCGCACACGACGTGCGTTTTACAATTTCTCATCTGACACACTCCGCAGGCTGCTGCTCCCGATGTAAAGGAAAATCATCGTTTCAGAGCAGAGTTCTACACGACTCGCTCGCTCGCTCACTGTTCATCGTTTGCTGGCCCTAGAAGGCCTATTCACACTTGCCCCACGTTGCACTGATGCTGAATGCAGTATTGTTCAATGGTGTTTGTTTTTGTTTGGGATTTGGATGAAGGTTGGGAGGCACCGTTTATGAAGCGATTGCCCGTCATGGGGACCGGGGGTTGTTTACTAAGCACTTAGCGCTGAACATTGTTGTTTATACGCTGTTACAAATAATAAATATGTGAACTGAAGCTATGTTCGTGGTTTTTTTTTTCCTCTGAGACAAGTTGATTTAAGGTCAACATGCCCCGCCACCGAAAGGTGCTCTCGGCACCCAATGCTGCCAGATGACTCCTTTAGCAAGGGGCAGTGTTTAGTCCAAGCCACTTGTACAAGGTGACGTTACACCCGCCTTCAATTCAATATTTGGGGAGGTGGCTTTGGTAAACCGCAGAAACGTGGAGCATGTGTAAGGCCCACTGCAGGGTAATGAGTTGGTACAACGAAGTAAGTGGCCCAACCCAGATGTGTAGAGATTTAAGTTTTCTTTTTGCACGCTTTTATTTAACTCGCTGTCTGTCATATCCTCAAATCTTGAAACTCAATTTTAACCCACTTCTCAACGTGGTATCGACTGCAAACTTAGTATACTTATGTCATACTGATGACAATACTATATTCTATCATTAAAAATAAAAACAATTCTTCTTAAACCATCTTTTTTGTATATGTTATGTTTCGCCTTGGGTCTAATTGTCCACGCTCAACGAACGTTGTCTGTAATTGGCCACGGTCCCTTACGCTATGGCAAGCCTCGGGGCCACTTCCTGGAGTCATGGAGTTCTGCCATTACTAGTACGGTACATTTCATTAAAGAATGTTTTTTAAAAAGTTTTTTTAAATATTACTTATGCACGAGTTTTCTCTGGGCACCCCAGTTCCGTATTATCACAATGGACAGGGGATGCCAATGGATGCAGACGCTTACAGAATCGATTAATCACATTGATCAGGAATCGAACTTGATGTATCGAGCTCGAGTTCATTGTGCGTGTCTATAAACACCACGATAATAATTAATATGCATAATGCGCACTCCATTCTAGGATCCCAAATGATCAATGCATGAAATGCATAAAAAAACAACAACCAGGGCAGCCGAACAAACCAAAGAGTGAAGGCCACTTTAAAGAGACGTTTTCAAAGCTGGATCATAACCTTATTGTGGTGGTGGGGTTTGCGTGTTCCAATGACCCTCAGCTATGTCGCCTGGAGTCTTGTCCTCCTGGCAGGGCCTCCCTTGGCGAACAGGTTTGGGGAGAGGTTCCAGACAACGGTCCAATACAAGCCCCTCGTGAATGGTTAAGCAATACAAAAATCAGAGAACCTTGCCTGGACAAGGGATACCAGGGCACACCCCCTAGAGCCAGGCCTGGTGGTGGTGTTCACCAGCAAGTGCCTGGTGGCCAGGTGACCCACGTAACCCGGTCGGGCCCAGACAGAAATGGCTACATGGTGCAGTCCTGCGGGCCCACCATCCACAGGAGGAAGGGTGAGGGGCAGATGCGATGCCAATATGGCAGGCAGAGTGATCTCGGATGGACTGGACCTTGGCGATAGACACGAGCTATTGCGACGTGGAATGTCACGTCACTGGGGGGGGGGGGGGGGGAGCCAGAGCTGGTGGAGGAAAGGTGGAAAGTTACCCGACTAAATATAGTCGCTCTCACCTCCACAAGCAGCATTGTCGCAGGAACCAAACTTCTCGATCAGGGGTGGTCTCCTATTCCAGAGTAACCCCTGGTGAGAGGCCCCGGGCAGGTGTGGGGGATACGCACAAGCCCCTGGCTGGGTGCTGTTCAGTTGGAGTTTGTCCCAATGGATGAGAGGATCTTCTCCACGAGACTTCGGGTACTGTATGTCTGGAAACACATATTTACTGACGGGACCAGATCACGGATTTTATGTGCTGTGTTGAATCGGACCTGGATCTTGTATTTTATCAGGAGTTTGGAGATCTGATATATAATTTAATGTTGGGTTTGTCTATGGCAGTATATAGTACGGTGTAGACTCGTGTGATGTAAGAGAATAAAGTTAAGATGGAAGCATATTATATTTTTTACGACGTAGAATTGTAATGTATTACTTACTGTTAGTAACTCAGCTTATTGTAGAGTATATTTAGTATACTGATGATACTATGTAGTTTATACTTTAGTTGTTTACGTGGTGGTTTTAGTTACTGCAGCTACATACTATTAACACTCCTTCCCTTTATTAATGCTACCCCTATCCCCTCCCTTTGATGCTGCTAATCCTGCATAATGCACGGGCATAAGTAGTACTAATCACATACCTGCATTTCCCATATCCCCTCCCTTTGATGCTGCTAATCCTGCATAATGCACGGGCATAAGTAGTACTAATCACATACCTGCATTTTCCATATCCCCTCCCTTTGATGCTGCTAATCCTGCATAATGCACGGGCATAAGTAGTACTAATCACATACCTGCATTTCCCATAAATATGCTAAATTCCTCTTGATATGCAAATGTTGTTGTCAAGGCGCCCTTTCCCCCCCTTCCAACCCAGCTTATATATATGCTCCAAGCACGTGTGCTGTTTCATTCAGACGCTGTCGCCTCGACAGACCTGGTTTTCACCTGAGGACGGCTGCTTGCATTGTGGCCGAAACGTCGTGAGAATTATTTTATTATGTTTAATTTTTTTATTTTATTATTTCCATTCTACGTGACTTTACCGAAAGAACCAAGAAGATGAATCCCTGCAGTCACGAAAGCTTTAAATCGAGATTTACTTTATTGTTGTATCATTGGACCTAAGGCCATATGTTTTGGACTCTCGGGTGAAGAGAGGGGCAGAGCTGTCAACTGATCATCACCTGGTGGTAAGTTGGATCCGACGTTTGGGCACGGACCAGATAGACGTGGAAGGCCCAAACGAAGAGTGCGGGTTTTCTGGGAATGTCTGGCGGAAGACCCAGAGCAAAAAGATGTCAACTTCCACCTCCGGGAACACTTCTGCACTCCAGAGGAGGTCGTGGACATTGCCTCTTGAGTGGACAATGTTCAGGACCTCAAATGTGGATGCAGATGCGAAAATGTGGCCTGAGGGCAGTTTGTGCCTGTCATGGAGTCAACCCGAGGACCCGCTGGTAGACACCAGTGGTGAGGGAAGCTGTCAAGTTGAAGGAGGCTTTCCGAACTATGCTCGGAAAAAATTCTCCCGACCCGATTGAGAGGTACCGGCTTGCCAAGAGGGCAGCAGCTGCAGCAGTCGCTGAAGCGAAAGTCCGGACGTGGGAGGAATTTGAAGAGGCCATGGAGAGGGACTACCGGGCAGCCTCAAAGATCTTCTGGCACACTATCCGACGCCTTAGGAGGGGTTGACGGGATGTGGCCTAGGCTGTTTTCATTAAGGGTGGCGTAACATTGAGCTCAACTAAGGAAATCGTCGAGAGGTGGAAGGGAGGGGGGGTTGGATCCATCACGGCTGTTGAAGTCGCTGCGGCGGTCGAGGGCCTTGCGTAGCGGCAAAAGCTGCTGGGTTCGACGAGATTACGCCCAGAGTTGTTGGAAGCGCCCGACAGTGTAAGAGTGTCGTGGTTAACATACCTTCTTCAATCTTGCATGGAAGGTGGGTACAGTACCGCTGGATTAGGAAACTGCGGTCGTGGTTCCCATTTTTAAATAAGGGGACCAGAGGGTTTGCTCCAACTACAGAGGAATCGCACTCCTCAGCGTCCCAGGTAAAGCCTATGCCAGAGTGCTGGAAAGGAGGCTCCGACCGGTGGTCGAACCTCAGATTCGGGAGGGACAATGTGGATTCCGTCATGGTCGTGGAACAATGGACCAGAACTTTTTCCTGTCATACATTTTAGGGGTCATGGGAGCATGCTTCTCCAGTCTACCTCTGCTTTGTAGACTTGTAGAAAGCATATGACCGTGTTCCCCGCAATGTCTTGCTGCGGGAGTATTATGAATCGGTGCCGCGTTTGTTTACTGTCCAGTCCCTCTATTCCTGGAGTGAGAGCTGACTGTGGTGTTAATTCAAAGTCGTTCACCGTGGGTGTTGGACTCCGCCAAGGGTGCGTCTTGTCTCCACTCCTGTTTGTGATTTCCATGGACAGGATATCAAGGCGCAGCCGAGGTATGGAGAGTATCCAGTACAGGGGCATTGAGGTGGTGTGGCTGCGTTTTGTAGATGACGTTGTCCTCTTTGCCTCGTCAGTCTGTGATCTCCAGCGTGCACTTGAGCGGTTTGATGCCGAGTGTGAAGCGGCTGGGATGAGGATCAGTGCCTCCAAATCTGAGGTCATGGTTCACTCCTGGGAGACAGTGGATTGTTCTCTCCAGGTGAGGGGGGAACAGCTGCCCTTAGTGGAGGAGTTTAAGTACCTCGGGGTCTCTTTCACGACTGATGGTAAGTGGGAGCGGGGGATCGGGCGGCAAATCATCCGCAGTGTTGCGGGCGCCGCACCGTTCCGTGGACGTGAAGCGGGAGCTGAGTTCTAGAACAAAGCTCACGGTTTACAGGTCGATCTACATTCCCACCCTCACCTATGGTCATGAGCTTTTGGTAATGACCAAAAGGATTAAATTGCGGGTACAAGGGGCCGAAATGAGGTTTCTCCTCAGGGTTGCCGGTTTCACTCTACGTGATCGGGTGTGGAGCGTGGTAATCTGGATCGAGAGGAGCCAGTTGAGGTTGTTCGGGCACCTGGTAAGGATGCCCCCCAATAGACTCCCCCTGGAATTCTACCGGGCAACACGTCCCACTGGACGAAGACCCCGGGGCCGGCCCAGGACACGCTGCTGACGGGACTATGTCGCTCGGCTGGCCTGGAAACGCCTGGGAAGTCCCCAGGAAGAGCTGTAGTCTGTCGCCAGGGAAAGGAAGGTCTGGCCGGCCCTACTCAGCATGCTGCCCCCGCGACCCTCATCAGAAAAAGCGGACTGCTTAGCATGAGACACATTGATGTGTTTCGGTTGGAACGGGCCGCATTGCATGTCCTGATACAGCGACATTTCAGTCCGAGCTCTTGCCCTTCATTACTCGAGGTGGGTTCCCTTCATCACCTGGTTCTCTCGCTGTGCAGAAGTGCACCTCCCCTTCTGGTCTCATAGCTCAAGCAACCTCCGCCTCTTTCCTTCTGCAACAATGCGTTACAGATTCATAAGCACTTCATAATAAGGGGCCGTCCATAAATGGCGTCACGCGATTT